CTTAACTTCTAGATGAAACGAAAGGATGAATGAAAAATATTAATGCACTCAAAACAAGCCATTTTGACCTCAAAATGTGAATTTATCGAGTAGAAGCAAAACAATTTTTTTCTCTCATGGGTAACACAAAGCATGTCCCACTGAGAATGCAGAGCTAGTATCTTCAATAATTCCGATATTTAATATCAAGTAACAAAGGAGAGCTACATAAAGAACGAGACCTCAAAGCATCAGCTGTAGTTTCGCTTCAAAAATCCAGAACTTTATCCCAGAACTCTTAGTGCAACATAAACAGATTTGCAAAAATAACCTAGAGGTAAAAATTTAGCATATCGCTTCATTTGAAAATCTTCAAAAGATCGAAGCTACTATAGCTTCCCGCCCCATCCCCCTGTTTAAACATCACTAAGAAACTAATTTAACGGCGAAATATCTTTCACCAAAATAACCTCGTCCCCAATGCCTAGTTGGAAATATTTTTTCTTATATGGAAAACATCTAATTCGCATAAAAATTCAAATATTTTTAGTTTTATGAATTTATATCGCTAATTGTTGAAGTATACAGTAAAGATGTCGCTAAGCCATGTGGTAAAAAAAGCAAATTTCGTAAGCCGTAGATTCAAGGAAAAAGCTAAGACAAGGTAAAATATTAGCTGATAAATGCATTAACCAGTGACGCTTTACAAAATGTAACACTTACAGACCACTCCAAAGCCGAGCTGTATTAACTAAACTACTCATTACTCTTGCTGAAACTACATGTTTGCAAATGTTTTAATCACTAAAAATTGTTCTACAAAGTGCAGCCAAAATTCAGGATTGCCGCCAAACCAAGGAAGAATTACATATAAGTAATGAAGTGGGAAATGTTAACCATAGTATACGGACACGATATACACTGAAAGAAATTTTCTAAAAAACAGTATAAAAGTTATTTTTCAATACATGTTCCGGTCAAGAAACCCTAAAAAGACAAGCCGATTATAAATGACTACAAATAAATCTGGATGCAAAAGCGTTTAATTTTTCGAGCTTTTCAGAGGTATCGGTCCTGGCCTAATCACAGATTTTTTGCACTTTTCTGCTAATTCACGATGCCCACTCTAAAGCAAGGAAATTTTAAAAAAAACTAAAGAGGTAAGGCTCTAGCAGAAAACAAATCCACAAGATAAAAGCAAGAAGCGCAAGTAATTTGCAGAAACTCAGAAGTAGAGAAGGTAAAGAAGTGTCAATCAAAAATGAAAAACTTCAATAGAACAAAAGACGACTCAAAACCAGTAAAAAATTTAATTTTTCGAGAGTCAAATGAAAAGAATGGATTTACAAGTACTTAAGCTAAGAGAGACCTTACTTTCTTCCTTCGCATTTCCTGCTTCCCTTCACATTTTTTCTGCATCTTAAAAAGTCCCCTTTTAAACCGAAAAAGTAACATAAACAACGAAACCGATAACTAAGTGTTTTCAATGCAAAAGTCTCTATTAAAGATATTAAATTGCATCATTTGAGCAATAAACAAAAATCACTGCCAGCGAAGAAAGTCAATGCTGCTAACAATAAGCAGCATTTTCCTTCTTAAATTTCATAACACCGCCACGACAAAAGAGACTGTGATAATAAAAATCTTTCATACTTTATCGATTGAACGGTTTGTTCCTTCACGCCATCGTCAGCCGCGACAACTAGAACTATAATGTCAGTGGAATTGGCTCCTCTTTCTCGCATTTGGGCAAAAGCTAAATGTCCAGGAGTATCCAAAAAGGTGATGGAATTCGCACCGTCGTTCACTAAATAACCAAGCTATAAGCAAAAATTGGTTTAAAAATTAACTGCTGAAGTTCTGACTTTAGTGACTCAGAAAGTAACCTCAAGAATTTCGAATAACATTTTCAGGTAAATTATTCAGCTGTTTACGATAAGTTTAAACCCAGTATTTGCTTACAAGTGAAGGCTTTAATATGTTGCGTTATACCACCAAATTCTGATTCTACAATACGTGAGTTTCTTAAGCAATCTAAAAGTGTAGTTTTGCCATGATCTACGTGTCCCATAATTGTTACAATAGGGGGGCGTTTCACTAATTCTTCTTCTGGAGGAGGAGGACTAAAATGTAAAATATTCTTGAAACTCATTAGTCATTACACTTGGTAGCAAAATGAATATAAGCTTCTGACTGCTTATCGTAAACTTTCAAAAATATTAACAGAATCAATTTACTGGAGGATATACCAACAGAGGCTCAATTTCAAAGACGTCTTCTGCAACCCCAGGGCGAGTGCCAAAACGCGTTTTACAGTCAAATGCACTGGCAATTCGCAAAACTTGCTCCTTTTCCAAAACTATAATCCAAATATAATTTAATTCTTTTTCTTGATCTAAACTCTGGCGTAGGCAAAATTATTTTTATCAATTTAATTTTAAACTTCTTTTGCAAAAATCATTCAGCGTTAGCTCACAATAAGAGTACAGCTGAAACAATTCCTAATTTGACCAGCGGTGAAAGTGAAGAAAAAAATTAGCGGCAAAACCGCGGGCAATTTCGTGCCTTAATATTTCTCGAATACGGCACCAATAATGCCCATGGATTTCTAAAACACTAAATTATTGAAAAAATAATCACAAAGGTTTTTTCCTTCCAGAAATAAGGTGACCTTTAGAAGGCGAGATGGTGTCAACTGTTTTGGGAAACAAGTCCAGAAGTGTTTCTAAAATGTTGTCAACAGGTTCACCGATAGCATTAGCCATTTCACTGAAAAAAAAAGCCTGTATTTCCACCAACAGTATTCAAAAAACGCTTTACTCCGCTTTACAGTCACTAAGAGCACCTATAAAATGAAACTTAACTAAACACAAGATTTTGTTACTAAAAGCGAAGGAAATACAGTAGAATATCATTTTTATGCTGTTATAGAGTTCATTTTTATAACCAGTTTTCAGCTGCACATCTACGATTCTCACTCATATAAATAAACCTTGATTTTATCACAACCTCTGATCCCCAAAAGTTAAGACATTTTAAGATATAAATCATGTGTCAATCCCCAGAACGGCTTTAAATAACGTTTTAGTTTTACTAAATTCATAGTCTAATATAGGTAACTGGCAAAAGCTTCTTTAAAGAAAAAACGTAAGCTAAAGCCATTGAGGAGGTTTAACAGACAAATCATGTTCATCCAACTAGAATCGCTTCCACTTACCTTACGGTCATGTCTGTATAAATATCGATTATTTTTTTTTTTGTCCTCAACCTCTTAACAATCACAGGTTCAGCTTTAAAACTTCTGTTTCTGGCTTGAGATGGACTACACAAAGCAATATGTCTCGAAAGCATATTCAACAATCCCCAAGTAGAGCAAGATGGCAGAGAAGCAACAGCACATGAGGTGTACTTAACAGTACGTAGCAGCGTAGACGACATGATAATGATGCTTCCCATAGATAACAAAACTAAAATTGATAGTTTCGAAAATATGTCCTAAAAGAAAGTAATGTCAGCAGGTTAAGAGATTAGGATAGTATAAAAACCGGTACGAAGATTCAATTCCAAGTATCTATTTCTAACCGACAAAACGTAGCACTACTGCGTAAATTGCATAAATGGCGAGCGATGACCCGGCAGATCCTACAAGCAAGGAATACTGCGGAATATAAATACAAATAAATAAAAAAATAAATAAGCATATATATATATATATATATATATATAT